ATAAAAATGATGGTGTTATTATATTATTATAATTAATTTATTTATTTATTTTATTATTTTTTTATAAAATTAATAATTTTAATAATAAAATAAAAATATTTTTAAAAAGTACAATTAATTGATTTTAAATGCCTTTATTAGTAATTTAATATTAAAAAACAATCACTAACTATTGTATAACCAAATAATTATATCTATCAAATTCATTATCTATTATTCACTACCATTAACCAAACAATCACTGGCTTTTATTTAATTTCTAATGTATATTATTAAAAATTATTGCATAAAATCTAATTACCATCATTTTAATTATCTTTTTCGTATTAATTTTAATGGTAATCAACTATCAAATTCCAATAGATAAAAATCATAAAATTTATATTAAATCCATTAAGTCACATTGTAATACCAATAAACTAAATTAGTTTATAATAAAACTATTAAAACTTGAAATCATAAATTTAAACACAAGAATATCAACTAATAAACAAAAATAATTAAAAAACAAAACAAGACTCAATTTATAAAAATAAAATCCTTATTCGTTATTAATAAATTTCTTATTATCTCACTTTATATTAATCTCTAAAAATTTTCAAAAAGAGTTAAGAAAGCCTCTCAAAACTCCCCAATTATGATCTTAAACTTATATTTATAAAATTTTCCATTTTAAGGAACCAGCAAGTATTTATAGAGCTTGAAGAAACTCTAATTGTAAAAGAAGTGACACCGGCACTAAAGAAAATAGAATTTCACTCCTACAAGAGCACAAAGCAGGCAAAGGTTCGGCACCTAATATTAACGTGTCGACATGTATAAATAATTTATGGAAGTAACTCCGCGTCGGGATTTTAGCCTTTAAAGCAGTTTTGGTTCTTCACTGGTAAAACTGTTTTGGTCCCTCATGCTTCATTGATTGACATTTTGATACTCATAGTTCTTATTTCTTTGATTTGGTCTTGAAAATTATAATTCCTTCCAATTAAGTTCTTTTCTACATAAAGAGTAAAAATTATATAAATTTAAGTAAAATTTTATAAAACTCATTCAATTATTAATAGCATCAACATAAACTTTCCACATTAATATTAATATCTATAAAATCATAACCTATTAATTAGTGAAGTAGACATCTTGATTAGAGATTTTGGGATAACTGAACCAAAAGTCTTTCACAGGACGGAATCAAAAATTTAAGTTAAGGGGCAAATTTCTTTTTTTTTTTTTTTGAGTCATTTAGGTTTTATTTAATTATATTTTGTATAAATCTTTTTTACAATAATTTTTTTTATTATAATTAATTAATATTTTATACTTGGTCAAAAAATTAATATTTTATATACTTTTATTAATTTTGATTAATATTTTTTATATTA